AAGCCCCCCCTGTGTTTCTTCTGGGGGTCGGCTTCTTCACTGCACGGGTCCTCGCGGTTCTCGTGGTCCTTGTAGGGGTCGGGCTCTTCACACAGGTCCTCGTAGCTCTCGTTGTGGTCGGGCTACTCGTCTCACGGGTCCTTGTAGCTCTTGTTGGTTCGCCCTGTCGGGGTGTGGCCTTCGTCTTCGTGGCAGTGGCCATGGCCTTCTCACTGTTGGTACGGGGCGGCTTGGCCTTCGTCTTCGTGGCAGTGGCCATGGGCTCCTCACTGTTGGTACGCCGAGGGCGGAAGCGGGCGAGGATGGTCAGGTCCTGTCGCGTGCTTTCCTCCGCTGCCTGCTGCAGTCTTCTGCGGGCTGCCCCCCCTGGCAGGCTAGTCCCCTGTAGCACACAGTTGTCCGCCTCGCGGTCGTGGCTGTAGTGTTTGCCTCCCTTTTCTCGCCCTGGTCCCATCAAGCATCTCGGGCAGGTACGTATGTTGTGTACAAGGAGGACTTGTTGCCTTTTGGCTGCTGTGGCTCCGGCTTGGCTGCGTTTGATGGGTGCCCTCCCATCTTCCTGTTCTCCAGGCGTACTTCGCATTCTCGGTGTCCTTGCCAAAAGCTCGTCCGTTACCCTGTTGGTGTCCCCCTCCCAGCGTTGTGGCAGGACGGCGTCTTCAGGTTGGGGTCCACGGTCAAGTGCTGGTCGAGCGGCGTCTGGTCCCTCAACTCTTCTATCATGTACCTCTTTGGGCCGAGGGTCTGCGGGATCACCTCTTGTTCCTCCGTGGCGTGGCATCTTTGCCCACCCCTACTCCTGGGCCACCCTGGGTTCTCCACCAGGGTCGCCGGGGAACAGCCGGCTCCCCACAAGGGTGGGTCCCCCAAAGGCCAGTTTCAAGGCGGGGCTTAGCGGAAATCCCAGAGGGGCCTCTGTGAGCCGAATATCGCGGCAGGTGGCCTCAAGCCCCCCACCAGGTCCCCCCGGTTGACAGCCGGGGTTTCCACAAGGGTGAGAGACGTGATAAGTGCATACAAAAGCGCAAAATTGCAAAACTAATTGAACCCACGTATCAAAACAAACCAAAAACATGCCACCGCGCAAAATGCGCGAATTAGTGCCTCCTTTTCTAATTGGTCACGGTGGACGAGGCTGCCCACGCGCGGGCAACCTCACGATTGAGCAGTAGAATCGCTGCAGCAACGATAATGGTCGGATCGCGAGCAGCTGGCGGCGCAGCCCCCAGATTACCGGAAAACCCAAGCACGAAACTCATAATACCCACAACATAAAACACGGCAAGCAAAATCAGAGAAAATGAGAGAAAGGACATAAAGGAAGCCATGGGCACGGAGGACCCCAAGGGGTCACTGATAAGCAGCACACCCTCAGGGTCCTGCATCTCCACCACACCAATGCATAGGATCAGCAGCACAGTCACGACACCATACGCAGCGATCCTTGTCAGATCGTTGACGCTAGCGTATGGGATGGCAGTAGCCATTCCGGCCACTGCTCGTTCAGACGGTCGTGAAGCTGCGGCCATCAGGCCCATTATGAAGACCAGAGCCGTGGCCACATTGAGAAAGGTCGGCAAGCACGATTGAAGATGCTTGGCGCTGCAATACTGCAGCTGAAGGCGGCAAGTAATGTAGAGGTTGGCCTCACAGCGCTTTGGACTTGCCAAGCAAGCGACGCACTTCTCAGACTGGACACAATCACCTGTTCGAACAGCAGCATACGGATTCGTAGTCCCAGAACCAACAGGAGATGGTGTGCTGGTACAACCGACTCTGACTGATGAAATGCTCTTGACGCAGTGAGTTGCTTGGCCCCCCTCGGTGGATGACACTTCCAAGTGCACTCCATCGAGCTTGAGAAGCCGGTGTCTGATATTCTGTATCCAGCAAGCAAATTGCAGGAAAATTCACCAGCCTCTTGGCTATCCTTCAAACGCAAATTGAAATTCTGGACATCGGAGTGCACGATGCAGAAACAAACCTCAGTTTGAAAAGCGCGGCACGTTTGAGAGGCGTGAAAGCCAAGTGGGGTTTGCACGGCAACACCATAGACATTTGTGGCTTGCGTGCTCGTCGTAGAGGCATGATCCGCAAGAAAGTCCGATGGTGCTCGAACGGGATGAGAATCAAAAGAGCTGAGCTTGCGGAACTCAGAGTTCGCAAGCGTAAATGTGGTGTGGGTGAAACTGGCTGTATGACCTTTGGAGAGTGCAGCAGTGCTGTCCAAGCCAACATCTCCTGGAAGACGATCAGCAGCTTTGCCATTAGCAAGATCAGTGGGCGGCATGTCATGGTCACATAGGCAGTGCCCTGTGAATGTGCAGTAGCCACTTAAGGCTCTGCCACTTACCGCGAATGTCACGGATGAAACCTGCTGAGGCTGGCAGCCGCCACACTTGAAGTCATGGCTGTTACCGGCAAAAAGAGGCGTTGTGCGGGCGGACTGAAAAGCCCACACAAACTCGCCGCGCGAAGTGGCGTTGGCAGACCCAGCGAAAATAGAACAATCTCCTGAGCCCAAACTCACAGAGTTTGGGAGCGCTGTTGGCCCCGAGTCCGCAGTGAAACAACTCAAGCACACCCGAGTGAAAGAGCTCTGCTGGGCCAAATAGCTGTGGCTGCTGTATCCAACAGTGAACTCGTTCAAGCGTCGTGGCGCCTTGGGATTGTGGGCGGGAGCAGCATGTGCGGGAGCCGGCCCCAGCAACCAGAACCAAGCGATGAGAAGCAAGACATAGACCAGAACGTGCTTGCAGCCGATGTTGCGTTGACTCTCTTCAGAGTCAAACTGAGCACTTGGATGCGCGTCCTGCTTTCCCTCAAAATGTGAAACTTCGCCCATCTTCTGGTAGGATTCTTCGTAGAGGAGTCCAGAACCAGAGTCAAAGACACCGTTATCGAAGGTCGACATGACAAAGTGTAGAAAACCTTCGAAGGTGTTACCGCAATAGAGATCAACAAAATGAGGCGTGGCGCGCGGGGAGCTCGTGCGCCAAAACTCTTGAGCCAAAATGTCTGTCTCTCTCTCTCTCTCTCTCTCTCTCTCGCTACAGGTTAGAGGAGGTAGGCGGCGCCACGCCCCTTTCCCCCCCCCACCTCCCTCGCACATATACGCGCACCTGCAGGTCCTGGCAGGCTCGCCGTCTCAACCGGCAAGTTCTCTCTCGACAGATGGTGTTGGTGGTGATGACTGCTAGACTGCTAGCTCTGCCCCGACCCAGGAAGCTCGCAATCCAGGCCGCAAAGGCAAAGCAAAGCCCGACCAGAAAATGCACCAGAATACGAGTAAGACCGAAGAAGGGATACTCATGACGTAGGGCACCTCCCCTCCGGTGCGAGGTCTGCATGTGCGCCCGCAGAGGCAGGAATGGGCGCACCACGACTTCCCCCCCCCCTCCCCGGCCTCCAACTCGGAATCGTCTTCCTGAGTTTTCACGGGGGCAGAAGCTGAGGAAGCTCCTTAAAGCAAGCTGCGCAGCCAGATATTCTTGCAGTCCAGCTTCTGGGTCCTCCACAAAGATCGTCTGCTTGCCGTCTGGCCTTACTGCAGCTTTAGGTCTCCTTTCACTAGAAAGGTCTCTTGCTTATTCTTGCTTGGTACCTAAACCGTTGAGACTTGCCTGCGCAAATTACGGTCTGTCAAAGGCCAACTCGGTGAAAGCTTGGCTTAACATGGACAAGCTGAAGGAGCCTTGGCCAGGCATTGGCCTCTGGCCCACCTGAAACAAAATAAAGCAGCCAAGTGGCGCGTTGCCTTGCGAATCGTGCACAGGAGTGAAGGCACTAATGCTCACGTCGTCGAAGCGGACCGTCTGCACACCCCTGTGTCAGTTCCACTGTTGCAGAATCTGTTCAGCAGACCAGCCAACATTGCAGATCAGTTGTGCCATTGGCGGTGGTTCCTGGCCCGGTTATGCCATCCCTATGCTTCCAAATCACGACATCGATGCAACCGCGGCGTGCGTGAACGCTTCGTCAGAAGGAGCCCTTCGAGAGATGACAGAAGGCGACCTTCCAGCGCTTCCCGCCTGCATCTCTTGCCCACGAGTGCCGCATGCTCCTGCGAGAAGTGTTGTCTTACGGCGCCTTTTCTTCTCTTCGCACTCTGTGCAGTCACTTTCTGTTGGCAGCCCAAGGAGTCCTGTGGATGGACCTTCGAGGTGGCTGCGCAGCCCATGGCAGCTGCACGGCAACCACAGCAAGGCTTAGCGGCTTGCCCGCACGACCTTCGATACCTCCAGGGGGCGTCTCAAGCCTGAAACCTCACATTACTTACTCTGTTTTTGGGATACTTCAGCAGCGGCAGCTCCCTTGAACCTGCAGCAGCCAAAGGATGCAAAGCCCTCCAAGTATCTCCAAGTTTCAGAAGATTATGAAACATCGCTTCTGAACAGCGTGCGGCGTGTGTCTGCAGCAAGAAGAATCTGTCGTCGTGGTCGAGGCGGCTGCATTACGGTAGGCATGAGATTGCAATAGTCGTCGAGTCGTCGCAACGACACTCACGGCCACAAGCTTCAAGGAACCACGTCCTCCAGGCGCTGCTGTTCTGCTCGCAGGCGCTCCTGCAGCTGGTCTTTTTGACCGTAGCGTTCTCTTAAGTGGCCTTGCCAAGAGTTTAGCTATACTATAATTAATCTATAAATAAAGCGCGCACACACAAGTATATTTTGGTATGTATGTATATATGTATATATATATATATACATATGTGTGCCAATGTGTGCCCATCAGAGTAAGGCCCTGAAGTCAGGCGGCCCCGGCCGAGCTTCCAAGAACGAAGGTGTCAACTGACAACACCAAGGGAACGCAGAGTCAGAGATGTGGCCTCCAAACAACCGACGCTTCACCGTCGAGGCTCCGAGGTAAATAAGTTAGGCACATTCATACTTAGAATTGGGTTGACACAACATATACAACTATAAACTTCAAAAGAGTCATAGTTTTTTGCAAGAGTCGGTCACTCCGACTTAGCACTCCCATTAAATGACGAAGCCATAGACCGCTAGACCGTATCAACAGAAGTCTGCAACGACCGAGACATGCCTCCTCTTGACGAAGCTCTTCTTCTCTTCTTCGTTCCTACGGGAAGGCGACACGAAGCAGTCTTGTAGCTCTTCCACTGCCTGCTGTCTAACAAAAGCTCACTCACCTTTACTGTGTTGTGACAGCTTCCACTGCTGGTGGTGCTGCTGCCACTACTGACTTCTCGAACTTGCTTATGGTGCGATCAGAAGACAAGCCACTCCAGCGAAACGGACATGCATCCGGATGCTCGAAAAGAGCCACGTGCGGTGGAAATTTAACTGAAGCTGCAGAAGCCGACGAATCGAAACAGAGGAAAAGCCTCAAACTTTAAATCCTAAAGCAATCTCCAAGTGATCGAAAGACTTACAAAAAAGCTTTTTTCGCAGGCAGGTCACCTCCTCCTCACGTCTCCTCTCCTCCGCCTTCCGCCGCTCCTGCATTCGCGAGTGCTTCTAGCCAAGCTTCATCATGGCTCATCTACGTCTACGTCTTCTTACGGGTCTGCACGTCTGGTCAGAAGCAGAGAACGCGGGCCGGGCCGTTGCGGCCGCTTTGGCGTCGCTCTGAGCCGCGAGCCTCTTCGAGCCGCCGCGCCTCCTCCTTCTTCCGACGCTCCTGGCAACGATTTTCCAGGAGAGGGGGCCTTCTTCCCAAGGTATGCAGCGAGAAATCCTAAGGTGAAAGGTTACTTGACCTGTCGAAGCAGCACTGTGGCAAATCCATGCTCCTCTTCACGTTGTGCCTGGCCTGAGCATTCGCGAGTCTCAGGGAAGGTGCCGGGAGTTTTGCGGTTCCAAGACTCAAGAACCCCCTAGCCGCCATAGCGTGAATCACCAATCCCTGTTTAGAGGGCCCTGAGCAGAGGATCATCACCGTTATTCGTCACCAGAGCTTCACAAGCCTTGAGCATCCGTGAGCTGCGCATGCTTGTCGAGGCGGGCACGTTGGGCAGCCATCTCTTGTTGTCGACGAAACTTCTCCTTACCAGCATTACCGTTTGTTTCGGGTAGATGAGTTGGCAGCCGCAACTCGCAGACTCAGTGAGCCCCTCTGAAGACTCCACAGGAATCGAGGCATCAAGGCACCTCCATCTCCCGAGCTTGCGCGGCCTCGCGCCTGGCACTGGCAGTCGTCAGAGCCACGGTTGTTCTCTAACTGTAGGAGCTGTGGGGAACTAAAGGAGCACTCCTTATAATCAGCAACATGCCAACGGACTGGAATTACTTATCATCAATCGACAGCCAATTCCAACTTGTCTTCCAACATGTAGCAGGCCCCTCAAGAAGCACATCTTCCCCAGAGAGCTCGCCGGCGGAACTCCTCGGCGATCCGCCGCTCTTCCGCTCGCTTTCGCTCGGACTCCTGGCAACGCAACGAGGAGCTCAACTCCGCAAGGCTCCGCAGCGGGCGCAGCTGTCACCTGGGGCCCTGGCCTGCTTATCTCGCCGTAGACGTTCCATCCTCTGCTCTGGCGGGAGGTCAACCGGTCCGTGCTGGGCTAGGTGCGTGGTCGCCGGGAGCTCCAGGGTCCCGGCGCACGCTCATGCTCTTCGCGCTGCAGCCGATCGGCCTGCACGAATGCAATGTCACACGACTGCGAAAGTTTCGCTGCTATGAACCTTGTTACTTCTCCCGCACCGAGGCCACGAGCCTGTATATCATGCACCAGATCTGCTGGGCCGTGTCAGATTCATGGAGAAGCTGAGAAGCAACGTTTGAGTATCCTTGCCATGTTTGCTTGCTGCTTCTTTGTCTGCACTGACTTCTGTGATCGCAAGCGTTGCTCCACGCCCTGTGGCTCAGAGTCAAGCGCAAAATGACACGCCTACTGCAACAAATATCTCCGACCTCCTCTTGCTCACGTCTTCTCTCCTTTCATGGTTGCCGCAACTCTGATCAAAACAGGTGCCCGCACAAGCACAGTGCAGTAGGTACAAAACCTAACAGCAGCTCGGCATGAAATAGCTTGGCATTGAAGCAACAGCCGCTTCATGGCTAATGGATGCCAAAGCAAAAGGCGCTACAAGTACTTGCTACTTCACTGCATGACTGGACATCGTCTTTTGCCTGGTTTGCGATGGCACTTGTGAAAAGGTCTGCGGTTCGCGGCGACGGATGCATTCCAGTTGAATTGAACAGCAGCCCACCCGTTCCGGAAAGCAAGGTATGGCACGATTCACTGGTATTGAAGAGCTGGGTAATTGCGGCAGTCATGATGACGATAGTGGGTGATGGCACAACGGAAGCTGTTGTCGGCCCGATGAGGCTAGGAAGGACTCAGCTGTGTGTGCGTTGGGGCCGAGAAGCGTGCAAATGCCCCCACAAGTGCAAAACCCTGAATGCTTGTTGACTGCGTAGAGAGTTGAGCTGTGGCAATGGAGAGGCTGATGTGAGAAAGCTGCGACGGCAATTTTATGCGCCTGACATTGCCTCAAAAGCCGAAGGAGCCCTTTGTGATATCCACTTCTGCATGCTACTCCAGCTGCTGGTGCGCTTGCCACCGCAAGCCAATTGCCTGCAAGAAAGCGGCTTTCCTGTGCGCCCAACTTTCCGTGTCCGATTCACGTGACAAGCGCTCCTCTTCTTCCTCCTCCTCTCGCCGGCGTCGCTCACGCTCCTCCTCCTGCATCCGGCTGCGATCATCGGATAAGCAAAGCGGTCCTTACATAGTGCTTAAACGACACAGCTGCCCAGGCCTCTCTCCTCCGTTCCTCCTCTAAGCGCCGCCGCTCCTCACCCACACTCAGCTGACAGCAGCAGGGTACTCTTGCCTAACAACCAGAGACAGAAAGCTGCATGCAACGTCTTGTCAAGAAAGAAAGAAAAAGAAGTGCCCCGAAGCAACACAAGGATGGACCTCGGCTTCTCGTCGCCTCCTCTGCAGTTCCTGGAATCATTGAGCGGTAGTAGGTAGGGTAGAAGCTTTCCTGACCAAGCCGCGAAGAACGGCAAAACTTCACACTGCGATGCACTTGCCTGCCGTCTTGGAACCCAACAAACCCTCAGAGACTTGCAGCAAGGGGTCTAGCGGACTATGTACTTGTGTTGCAGGTACCAGTAACGGTAACGATGGAACGCAGCAAGGTCAGCATGTGAATGCGCACAATGGACAGCCATGTCAATGCTGGGGCACCCCCTGCCTCGGCCCTCTCTGCCATCGCCTCGGAACAAGCTGATCTTGCACTTCGGCTTGCAAAGCATTTTCCAGCCATCCCTGGAACGAAATGGAGCAGGTGGAAAGGGAGTTTGGGAAGCACGGCACCCTTCCTGCTCCGTGTCCTCTCGGTGTCGAGAATCAACACGGTGAGACTGCAGGACTCTTGAGTGCACTCGTTTGTGGGCACTTGGGCTGGATCGGAATGGGTTCTCCCAGTGCGCATTTCCACTATTGCTTGGTTGTATGCTTGCACTAGCCGTGCCACTTGTCACTTGAACTTTAACCGTTAACCTTTACAAAGCACGGACTGGAATGTCGAGGTCGGCGCCGCGCGCTGCTCTTCATGCAAGGCCTGTTGCGACATGCTTCTTGCAGAGTATTACTGAGCTTTCTGTGGTTGTCCGACCAATGGTTTTGCCGACGGCTTTGGCCCAGGTAGGAGGATTGACTCTTGCAAAACTCTTACGCGCGAACGAAACTCCAATGCCAAGCCAAGCCAGCACCCGAACATTCGTCGCCAAGGAGGGCCTGTGGCGATCTGAAAACGGGACCCCAAACAATTGGATCATATTGGATCCGAAGTCTGCACACCCAACGAATTTTTCGCTTAGAACTTACTTGGTGAATACCCTGCGAAGCCTCGGCTAGGTCCAGCATGGGCTGTTGCTCTTTGCGCCGTAGCCTCCTTGCAAGCGCTGTGTGGTTGAGGCCGTTCTGACCAGGTGCCCAGTAAATTCAGGAAACCAGTGGAACAAGATGGTGCATGGATGGAGCTGCTGCATTGCAAACACAACTTTTGGGACGATTTGGCGGCTTCTGGAGACGAAACCCTCGGTGAAACTAGCATGGCATGTAGTCAGCGACACAATCGCGCTGACTGACCATCTTATCGACTGTGTGCCCTCAGCATGGCAGGACTCACTCACGACCAACCTGAGCATGCTACGGCCACGGCAAACCATCGATTTCGCGAGCATTTCCTCTGTGTGTGTGTATGTGTTGTTGGTTGTATGAAGGTAGTTCAATTAAAAGTCCATACGCGTAAGATATCGTGGAGTGAGTGACGAGTGAAACTGCAGAGGCGATAGCGACGAGCGAACGGATTCTGTTCGCGGGCTACCATGTCTCAAACTCTCAACCTATTTATGCCAACTCACATTGCGGTCGGGTCAGGTGTTGGCGTGGCCCCGTGCTGCCTCCTGCAGCATGCGTGCGACCTCTGCGTGGCCGCACTCTGTCGCTTTGTCTGCTGGACAGCGGCCGAAGGTATCCAGCTCCCCTGGCTGGGCACCGGCCTGAAGCAGCAGTCGCACCACTTCTGCATGCCCAAACTCAGCCGCCAAATGAAGAGGCGTGGAGTGGTCGTCGTCGTCGGCAAGATGTACATCTGCCGCTGCCTGAATCAGGAGCTTAGCGACCTCGGTCTGGCCGTGGGCAGCTGCCTGCTGCAGAGGCCCGCAGGCGATGCCCAGGCTGGCATTTGGATCTACCCGCTCTTCAAGCAGCAGCTGCACGCTCGGCACCTCTCCACGTCGGGAGGCGCTCAGCAGGCGCTCAACCCGTTCCAAGGCCACCTTCTCCTCCTTCGAGCGCGATGAGCGCTCAGCTCGGCTCATGGCAGCGACTGCAAACGGCTACAAACTACAAGCGTTTGGGGGGCCTTCGGACCACTATAGTGGCAACCATCAATCAAAGGTGAACCGCTGAAGGCCCTCTTTTGTGCACGCTGCGAGTCCCGTCGCTTGTGCCCAACAGCTACAGGTGTCACAAGCGTCCGACCTGTCAGTGGGGAGCCTAGTGCCAAAAGCTGCGGCTGCGGCTCGGCTTATATGCAGTGCGATGCACATTAACGAAACAGCTCTGCGCATAAGGGATAGATATAATATATGTAGCCGGATACTCCAACATGGAAGGCACTGAAGCACCATGCCATGTCCTGCGCACGTTCGTGCAGGGCACTATGGGCACTACGGTGCTGTGTTCAGGGCTGTTGGTGTTCCTGATGACATTAGTCCTTATGACAACAACAGTCCCGTCCTCAGCACTATGGTACATGAACGCAACCTCGAACCCTCCGAACCTTATTCGAACTGCTTGGAACATCCACGAGTAATGATGGCATATCGACATGACCAACACGCGCCGAAGCTTGCACGCCCACAGTGCCCCTCCAAGCACCTTTGCTGGGCTTCGAAGCGCTCCAAGACGCCTTGCAAGCGCTCCACCCTTAGCTGCATCAGAGTCTGCACTGCTCATAGCTGCTCATCTTCGGACCTTTTCAGATGGCCAGAGTCTGAAGTGAGGATACTGAGACAGAGCTGGACTCATGCTGCCCGGACTTGAGCCCATGCAAGAAAGGCAGGGGGCGAAGTTCGAGACTTTGATCGGCTCCAGAAACAGAGACAAGTCTTTGACATGAGCACTCGCAGCCACTGCGTCGCCCCAAGCTCCGAGCTCGGCCCGCATCTGCTCCGCCACAGCAGACTGCCCAGCCTTTACGGCGGCTTCTGACACTCCCAGGTCTCAAGCACAAGACAATTAGAGACTCTGTTCGGACTCGCCGCTAAGGGTGGAGGCGAGTTTCACCGGGACATGATCAAGAATCATGTCACGGCCTTGGCAGCCTCCGAAGCCAGCACCGGTGCGGGCCTGAAGAAGAAAACCAGGGAGCAGAACGGACATGAAAGAATCAACGAGGTTTGGGCACGTGCCAACCGGCACCATGCGTTAGAGGACCAGCATTGGGAGACGTCACGGCGAAGGTGATTCTCAGACTAGCATGGCCGTCCGAGGTCTGGACCAGGATGCGACGACTTTGTTGCGCCAGTGGTCCTGCGCCTTTGGGCAAAGAAGGGCACGACATGTCCACCTAACTGGTGCCTGTCTCAAACTTTCTCAGGCTGCTGCAGTTTTCTCCCTCTCACCGCGGCCTGCGGCTGTGTTTGCATGAGGACGAGGGATTCCAGTTTTTTGAACGTACATTGAACCCTCCCAAGTCTGATGAGCCCTGCCGCCTGCGATCCAAAACACAACTCAACAAGTGCCAGCAAGAAAAGACACGCTGCGAAACGGTCGCACACCACGATCCCGTGCAGCCCCAAGCCTGTACGAACACCATACTACTAAGGCTTACTTGAAGCATATGTAGTCTGCTGATATTCAGCTCAGGCTCCGAGTCTTTTTGGAGCCCGCGCCTCTCTTCCAGGCCTCCCGCTTCTGCACAGCCTCAGAAGAGCGGAAACAGACCTCCCTTTCTGCGGCTCGGAGCTCTCGGCCCCCCTGCGCGGTCGAAGACGGAGCCCCAGTCCTGAGTCTACGGAGTCTACGGCTGGCATCTTTAGGTTGGTCTGATGTGCTGGCAGCACATGTTCTCCGACTTTCTCCAAGAGAAACTGGCACACGAACCACAGGAAGTGACTCCGGCAAGCCAAGAGAACTACACGACACCGGCAATAACGAACAGACACCTCGCGATGCTCGCGATCACAATAAGAAGACAGCGACGGCAGTCAATATGCTTCTTCCCTTCCTGGAGATATTCATATGACAAGCCTTCGCCATAAGATTCAGCATCGTGCACCATGCCCTGCACTAAGTAACGGAAGCCTGCGGTCTTGCGGCGCTTAAACGTGAGATGGTTAAGCAGCCATTTCAGGATCGGATCGGTTTGGGAAATGTCTTGTGAAGTCGTTGCATTTCGTCCTGGGGAAGCAGCGATCCTGACAGCCCCTTCTGAGACTCTGCCTATCGGCCTTCTGGGGCTGTCGCCTCAAGCTGCTGCTCGGAGAAGGTGGGCGCCTCCTCCTCTTGGGCCTGTGCCTCCACAACTGTGCCGTGCTTATCAGGGAGCAACGAACTCACATCTTGCTGAGCGGTTCCCACCCCAGTCTTGCACCATGTTCTGGGTGACGCCTCATTTCACTGTTCATTCGAGCACGAATCCTTTGATTCGAGTTTATTGCTGAGTCTTTGTCTAGGTCAGTCCACGTCCATGCTGTCTCATGACTGCTCACTCAGCTTGATCCATTTTGCGAGCAGTGCTTGTGGCCGGTTGTCAAAGACCAAGAGCCCCGGAAGACGAGGGCAACTCTGACACAGGCCTCCTGGGCCCTTGCACGAGCGAGATCTCGAAGGTCGGCCTTCCCAAAGGTGTTCGAGGTCTTGAAGTTCCGGTCGCCAAGTTGGGTACTTGGGAGACTCCCTGCCACTGTCCCTTCAAGGCTTCAAACACCCCAAGAACCGCCGGCCTCAGCCTTGGCCTTGGCCTGAGCCTCGGCTTTCGCCTTGGCCTTGGCCTTTGCCTCAGTGACAGAGAGCGATCGGCAACTTCCTTGACGAAGACTTTAAAGGGACGGCTGTTTGCCCTAAGTCTTCGTTGGCAGGGCACAGATCTGTAGCAGCTCGATAGCAACTGCGTCGCGCAGGGTCACGGGAGTGGGTGTTCGTTCTCCTGTGAGCTGAGCATCCTCCCGGTCTGTTGGCTGGGACCAGCCCAGAGCTGCTCATGGCACCCACAAAAAAACCCAAAAACCCTTCTTGGCGCTTGCCAGAAGAAGGAGCTCTCCAAAACATTGGCTCCTCCCAATCTCCCCCCAAAACACCTCTCTCCGCGCCAGAATGGAAGCCTAAGGAGCACTGGGCCGTCCACCTTCGCCTTGAGCTCGTCCTCATCGATCTCCTGGAAACTCTGGTTCTCTCCGATCCCCTCCATAAAAAAAAATAAAACCAGGCCCCGCTTGCTGGTGGCTCTGTCTGGCCTCGATGCGCTGGGTGAGCAGCTCGATTTGTGCGTGGATCAGCTGCTCCGGATCATCCAGGCACATTTGCCTGACCGCTACCAAATAATCGGTCGAGTTTCGCTGCATTCGCTACAGTACGATCTCCAAACTCAAGCTGAGATGTGAGCTCCAATTCCTCCTGGCTCTCCAGGTAGAGCCTGCACAGTTGCAAACAGCAGGAAAGGCTCTGCCGATTCCTTCCTGCACATCTCCTTCATCATTCTCTTCATCAAGCACGAAGGAACTGTCAGGGCAGCTGCGCTTGTCACGAGATGAGAAGCTTGCTCGATCTTTTGTGCTCATGTGCACTCGTTCCTATCCCGCCCACTGCAACATACTCACACCATCAATGGTGGAGTTGATCACTAAGACACTCAGACCCGGAAGCAGAGAAGCAACCTCAAGCGGAACCCTGCTTTTCGAGTAGACCCCATGGTCGTCGGCACACTTGATAAGGGAAACCTAATTTTTTAAGCGATCTCCTATCATCTGCAGCCGAGCCGCTCGACGAGCTTGTCCACTCTCAGTGGCTTCCGCTTGCCACGTGATTTCGACCTGAGGCTCCCTTATTCTCGTCAAACCCTGCTAGTCTCATGGATGTAAAAAGTGTAAAGCCGGTGGGCAGAGAGACCGACAGACAGGCAGACAGAGAATCAGATCGGTACGATGGACAGATACATGGCTGGATGACAGATAGATGGATTAGGTAGGTAATAAGGTGAACGGATCGATGGGTCCGTCAACAAATAGGTAGATGGATAGCTGTAGATCAAGAACATCTCAGTGCAGGCACGCCTGCGCAGTGGCGTGCACACACGCACACACAGAGAGACGCCGGCTCTGTACCTACCTACCTATCTATCGATATGATCCCAAACGCGGCCCAATCCTTCCAGGCCTCTCAGGGATCCTGAAAGCTGCTGAAAGCTACGTCACGGTAAGGCCGTGACGATGCAACGGGGCGACTTTGCAGTAGCCTGGCGCGAGACAAGCGGCAAGCGGGAGCCCCGCGCCGCTTTTCAGGTGCGGCTCCAAGCAGCTCCACTAACTCGGTGATAGTCACTGATCGCCCCGGTTTATTCGACAATCACAGGATGCTCGCCAAGACTCCGCAAAAACCGTAAGGTGCAGGGGCCGAGCGCTTTTGTTCTGAGTACCGGGCTTTCTGCCCAGCTTCACCCAGTGGACCATGATCCTCAGTCTTGATTCCCTCAGCCCTCCAGCCCTCCACCTCCCTCTGTGAGGTCAAGCCTGAGCTTCGCAGTGATTGGTTTTGGCCGAGGGTGTACAGGGCATCGTTTGGTCTTCTAGCCTTGGGACTTGCGAAGGACCGTGAAGCAGAAGTGCTCCGAAAATTGTGAACAACAACACGGGGGCGAACACGCAGGCAAACAACTCTCCCAGGAATCGCCAGAACAAGGCTCGTAAGGAAGGGATCCGCAATCCCTGCCAAGCGGCTTTCGTGAGCTGATACTCACCTTGACCTCTGGGAACTCTGGCCTCGACAGTCGGCAAATGGCATGTAGAAAACCTGGTAGTTGCCGTGGCAACATTATCCGCACTGGTAGTCGTAGTCGTGGGAGTGGTAGTGGTGGTGCTGCTGGTGGTGCTGGTGGTGGTGGTGGTGGTGGTGGTGGTGCTGCTGCTGCTTTATCAATGCTGCTCTGGTGCTGCTGTTGCCGTTGCTGCCGCTATTGCTGCTGCTGCTGTTGTTGTTGTCGTTCTCGTTGTGGTCGTGGCTGTAGCAGCACAACAAGCAGAGGAATAGCTGTGCAGCCTAGTCCTCGTCGGTTTTGTTGTAGGTGTTGGCAGTGGTAGAAGGTTGGCGTCCTAACTTG